ACCTGCAATTGTGATCGCGCCAAACTTTTTTTCTGTAGATCAAAAATTAATTTGCAGTTCGGAATTGTTCTGTGGGAGAGCGTGAAATGGCAAATTTTCAGAAACTGACACCACCGACAGTGGTCGGAACAATATAGAATAGGTAAGAACGATACAATGTTGTCTTTTTTTATCATCTGTGTTAATCTAATGGTTGCATACTTGAATGGAATATTAGATGCTCTAAATAAAACTCTGGTGGTGCTGAGATTTTCTTAAAGATGTGCGTCTCTTGTCCAACTACACACTCATATTTTTATCGTTTCCGTTCTGTTACCCATCAGTTGGCCTGACTCGTTGGGAGAAGCTATCCGCCGTATTGCATCTTTTTGTTTCGCAATGAAATTTTCTAGGAGAAAACCCCCCAGAAAACGAGATGTAGCGTTCCCGAAGAGACGCAGAGATTTCTACTAGGTCTCAATGAGCATTCTTGTGACAAAAATATCCAAAATTGTTTTTGATTTCGCAGAGGTTCTTAACGAAAGTCTGTTCCGGTTAGACCTATCAATCACACTTTTATCGTTCGAACTTTTTATATCACCTACAAATCCGTTAACTCAAATTATGCTCTTCTTTATTGCACAATCCCACGTTCACATACTTGTTTCTATTGGTGTTACCTGCTTCCAAAAAGACGCAGGTGGACCATCAGCAAGAAGCTGTTAATTGACGGGTGAGTGGTCTCTCCGGATATGCTTCTTCTCCCAAAATGCTAACTAATCCTTCGTCGTATTCTCGTTTCCCTTGTCCCGCTGGCTCGCGCGCCCATTGGATCAACCCGCGACACCCATCTGCCCTTTAGCTCTTTCAAATGGAAAAGAGAAGAAAGAGAGCAGCTCACATCTCAACGCCTAGTTAATTCAGAGTTGCATTCGCCATTCCATGCATATTTTCGCTCACAGCGCTCATAGTATTTCAAAAATGAGTGGTGTTTTCATTCCGTACTGTTTCTACGAAGTTTCGAGATCAAATTAGCAAAATTACATCTTTCTTTGAGAAAATCCTCTCGACAATCACCTCCAAACCACACTCGCACCTTTACACCTTTTTTGTTCTCTTCCTTCATTCTGTTCGGGTGTTCCGCCTTTTATACTTCTAAAACCCATACTTGTAATCCGGGTCTTTGCCGGGCCTTCGCGGGCCCTAGCATAGTTTCTCTCAAAGTCAATATCTTTGGACCACCCAAATTTGATATGATAGAACTCGACGAGTGCTACAAAATGCTACTATTTGGAAAACTGTATCTTGTCTATGAACAAAGTTACAGGCTATCAAGTGGCTTTTCCCGGGCGGCCCGGAAGGCCCGGGCCGGGCCTGCATTTTTTCGTACTATTTTGTCTGTAACTTTGTTTCTAGACAAGATCCAGTTTTCAAATAGTATCATTTTGTAGTACTCGTCGAGTTCTATCATATCAAATTTAATTGGTTCGAAAAATTGACTCTGAGAGAAACTATGCCAGGGCCCGCGAAGGCCCGGAAAGGCCCGGATTACAAGTATGCTAAAATCCCTTTTCTAATAGTTGTTTTTATCACTATTCCTTTCCGTTTCGTCCATTTCTTTCGAATCCCTGCTCTTATGTGATTGTTAACTCTTGCTAATATTGGTGTTTTTTGGAGACAGGTTGACTACTCGAATGATGCCACAAACTTCGACATGGGAAATTGACGAACGATCTTCTGCATCAGGACACAGATCTGGAGAATCAGGTACTAATGGGATGATGAATGGAGCCAATACTCTGCCTCGTGTCACGAAGCGGTTATCCACCTCTGGTAAAACGTCCAATATTCCGAGATTCAAACGACGTAAGATTTGCTTCTTTGGGTTTTTGTTCTGTATCGCTAGTTTACCTGCTTGCGCTTTTCACATTAGCAAATTTCAATGTCACGGTTCAGTACAATGGTGGTGGAGTAATTAGCAAATCCGTTACATATAAATAAGCATCCCACCTTATCAATGTCCTCAAATCTATATTGAAGTCCATATCAAATCCATATTGTATTTATTTTTTGTATCTTGTCAATGTTCATAATTTCCATTCATTTCCTCTCAATCACACATTTCATCTAAATATCTAATACTCGATGTCTTCCGAGACAAATCAACAGAGAAAGAAAGTGAGAATAGTGGAGTGTCAACGAACGGCGGGGAAGCGACAAATCATAAATAAATTGCCCTCTTCTTTGATTCTCTATTAGTTATATTTCCTTTGTTTCGCTTTGACATCAAATATTGTAACACGAAGATCCCAGAAAAATGGTCGCAAAACTAAATTTAGACGGTAAGAAACTTCGAATTCCAATGTAAATTATGCTAGAATGATGATATTGGTGAATCTAAATATATGATATTTTCTTCAGCTCATCCACCTCATTCGACTCGTCCACATTCAGCCATAATATCTTCATCACCTGGAATTTATCGAAAAAATAGCCCATCCAGTTCTGCACCCTCTACCTCTTCCAACCGCCGACTATCCCAATTGCCGACACATCACGTTCACAGTCATATTCATCAGCCAAACCATACATTACATCATACTTCTGTCATCAGTGAAGAGCTGACAACTCCACGTGCGTCAACATTCAATTTGAACCAAAATCAAAACGTCTTCGCAACGACGACAACTTCTTTCGGCAGTATGCCGAATAGCGGCACCAACACTCCAGAAGCGTCGATGACGTCTTCTGTATGTGCGATGGAAACCGATGGAGCGGTGACTGGGAATTCAGCGGAAGAGCTTGCCGAATCCAGAGATATGGTGTCTGAAATGCAGAAAAGATGTCGGATCGGTCCGTCCGGTTACCCTCATCTAGTCAAGGCTAAACGATTGCGATTCTATCGCAATGGTGATCAGTACTTCAAAGGGATTCCGTACGCACTGCAATGTGATCGTGTGAAAAGTATGCAGCCGCTGATGGAAGAACTCATGAAGGTAATATTTAAAAAATATATATGCCAATTTATAATTACGCTTTTTCAGACTGTTATATGTGACTCGACAGCTCTCCCGCATGGAATTCGTCATATTTTTACAATGGACGGAACTCAAAGAATCACATCAGTTGATCAGTTTGAAGATGGTGGAGGCTATGTTTGTTCGAGTACAGATGTGTTCAAACCAGTTGACTACTCAAGAGCCGCAGAGCCCAGCTGGCGGCTAACACTTGCTAATCGTTACAATAGACATTTGGAAACGAAGAAATTAGCATTGAATGTGGTCGAACCAGCTAATGAGAATACAGATTTTGTGATTCCGAAAATTATCAAGGTAATCCGAAATGGAGTGAAACCAAGACGCATTAGCAGGCATTTGTTGAACAAGAAGACTGCAAGGTTGGTGGCAGAAAACGTAAAAAAGTTTAATTTGCCAATTCATTCAGATCGTTCGATCAAGTGCTTCGAGATTTGACATTGATTGTGAAGCTTGACGCCGGAGCCATTCGAAAATTATTCACCCTGTCTGGTCGGCCTGTTCTCACACTGCAAGATTTTTTCCGGGAAGATGATGTATTTGTCGCTTATGGAGGAAACGATAAAATGGCCGCAGATGATTTGCTTGTAGCATCGGAAGAGCACAAATGTGTCGGAGCTAGTACCTCGTCAAAGATTCGAAGAACCAGTCGTCGGTCAGCAATGCCAAATCGTAATGAATCTCTTCGTCATGATCGATCAGGTAGTGTTATTCCTGATCAGGATCAACAGAGACTGCCACCGGATCTCGATGAAAAGTTCCAATTGGTTCGGCTGATTGGAGATGGAAATACAGCTGTGGTGTATGAAGTTGTTGATAAGTGAGCAACTTTTGTAAGAATTTATTCGAGTTTTATTTTCTATACTTTCAGGATCAATCATGATCGTAGAGCGATGAAAGTTATTGCACGAGAAAATGTTATTGGAAAAGAGCATTTGATTGAAATGGAGCTCTCGATTTTGCAAAAAATTGATAATACATTTATAGTTCAACTTTATGATCACTGGTTTGTCGATGATTCCTACTTTCTATCGTTGGAGTTGATTGAAGTGAGTTCTTTCCCAATAACTGGAAAGTGATGAATCTATTTTCAGATGGGAGATTTGTTCGAACATCTTCGACGTGTCCGGCGTGTTCCTGAACGGGATGCTGTCCGGATGATGACCTGCCTCGGGCAAGCGTTAGAGTATATCCATGATCTGGGTATTGTACATCGGGATGTCAAATTAGAAAATTTATTGGTACTGTAGTTCGAATGGAGCTAGCTTGTCAACATATTTCTTTTCAGATTGTGAAAGACGAATATGGAGAGCTCGGCGTCAAACTTGCTGACTTTGGATTAGCGTGTGAAATGCCCGAAGGAAATGGAGTGCTCACCACAATCTGTGGAACGCCTACCTATGTGGCTCCAGAGGTTTTGAACAAGACGGGTTATGGATGTCGAGTGGATATCTGGGCAGCTGGTGTCATTCTGTATGCCATTCTTGTTGGATTCCCACCATTCCAAAGCTCTGATGGTTCTGAGCAAGATCTGTTTAGCGCAATTATAAGCGGAGAATTCAGCTTCCCGTCACCATCGTGGGACGATGTAAGTAATTCTGTTCATCTGATGAAATTTTTATAAAAAGATATTTGAAGGTCTCGTGGTCAGTTCGGCACCTGATAATGTGTCTCATTCATACCGATCCATTCCATCGTTATTCTGCAAACGAGTTGCTCAGTGACGAATGGATGGTGGTTAGTTTTTTTTTGTTCGCTCTATAATCTGATTCCAATTTTTTCCAGAATCTTGGTGACGTTGATCCGGAGTATGAGGAATGGGCTCATCTGTTCGTTCAATCGAAAATGCACGTCGGTGAAGAACAAGAAACCCCATACGAATACTACACATCTCGTCGAACTTCAATGGACGAATTGTCTGAAAGTGCCGGCGTCGAATTCTCGTTCTCACGCGAAGGTTGAACAGCCAGATCGTATTGTATTTTGCAACTTATACTCGCTTTAGATATCAATTTTCTGTGTAATGTGTTCCCCTTAATTTATCAGTGTCCCCCCTGCTTTCTCCCCTTTTACAAATAATTAGCATACCAACGGGTTTCTCGTTTTGGGGAGTTTTTTCTGTGAAAATCTCCATCTCGCTTTCGCCTTATGTCTCTCATCACCTCGATAGTTTTTATTCATTTTTTTTGTTCAGATGTCACTTGATAAGGTTCGAAATTCGTCTGTTCCGGTTTATTGCTTTTTCTCTCCGTATCCCAAATGAATTTCAGCTATTTTTTCTTCCTACTGATCATACGAATATATGACCGGAGTGATCAACTCTGACGCAAACGCTGTTTCCGGATGTAGTTTGATCAAGTGGGCTCCTCATAAAATATAGTAAATAGAAATAATCAGAAGCAAAATTTATATCCTGATGGGATCATTGGATTCTATCAGTCTCAAAATTTCCTTCTAGCAATGATGACGCCACTTGAAATGTGTCTTATTTGTCAGCGACCAGCTAATTCATTAAATTACGGAGTGAGTTAAATTTCCCATTTTTTCAGCATCAAAATACAATTTCAGGTTCTTTCCTGTGACGCTTGCAAAATATTTTTTCGCAGAATAATTTTTGGGAAACCAGTGAAATTTTGCGCGAATATCGGTGAATGCAATCCTTTATCATGCAGATTATGTCGATTGAAAAGGTGTATTCAATCTGGAATGACATTTAAATTTTCGAAAATTCCTTCGGATATTGAGAATCTCTCCTAATTGATCAATAATTTGAAAGTTTTGGACACTCAACGAAATCGTCTTCTTTTGAATTATCGATTTGAAGGAAATCCTACTGTTGAGGAATTGGCACGATCATTTGGACCCATTCAGTTTCTTCCAAAACTCGAAAATCGTCAACCAGATTCTATCCAATGGGGAAATTTGGCTGCTCTCACAACCATAGACTACATGAAAAAGTTCAATTTTATGGGTGTTTTGGATGTGGAAGATCGAATTGTTCTCATCAAAAACTCTTTCACAGACTTTGATATGTTATCAAATGCAAGAAGATCTTTTGATTTGAAAAAAGCGGAATCTGCATTTCCCGATGGATCCGACATTTTTGTGAAAATAGACCATGATATTTGTAACAATTTGGAGAATAAAATAAGATGTCGACTGATTGGAAGATTTTGTGATCTGAAGATTGCTGCTGAGGAATTTTTAATTCTCACTTGCATTTTCTTTTGTAACCCTGGTGAGTTTCATGTCAGACTTATTATTCTGACTGTGGATGAGAAACGACCGTGGCCGAAAGTCCCGCCACTACAACTACCGTAACCTAAAGATTTGTTTATTTTCTAGTTATTTCTCGTTTTTCACTGCTTCTCGTTTTTTTTGCCAAAAAAGTCCATTGTCTTTGATCCTACATATCTCGGTTCTTGTTACCGAGATATATAAACTCAACCGAGATATATAAACTCAAAGTTGACGGTTTTGATAACTTTCTATTAGAGTGTTTAAAAAAACTATATTATTCTGGCCCAAAAAAAATTGGAGGAGAGGGCAAAAGACAACAAGACGCTTGGAAATAGACCAAGGATGTTCAGAATGACCTTTCCGGAATTTTTCGGAATGTCCAAAGTTCAGATTTTGAAACTTCCGGATTTTCGGAGTCTCGAAATTTTCCGATTTTTTAAAATTCAAATTCAATGCAAGTAAAACTTTTTCGCGACATACCGTAGTCCAACAATCTCTACATGTAAAAAATAGCTTAAAACCTGCCGATGCTTGGCCCGTTTGTTCATCTGAAGACGCTCCCGATTCTAGAATACGCTCCTTGG